ACAGCCACAACACTCAAACCAACATTCGCTAAATAGAACCACAGTGCGTTAACGGTCGTGTGCACTAACGTTCCTGGCACAATAAAGGGCAAGTTGGTAGATGCTCGCAACCAGTGGCATTCCATCTGCGATGCGATTGGTATTCGGGTTGACTTAACTGCGCTACAACGCGTAGCGCGTCACCCAAATTCAGTGCACTACGGCGAACCCCGATTTCTTCGAGTAACCTTGTATTCAACTGAGGAGACAGAGATAGTCCTACTCTCAGCAATTCATCTTCACAACTCATCGAGCGGTCCTTCTACGAATGAAAGCAAAACAACCGTATTTGTTCATGGTGTTCCTGAACTACTGGGCTCTTCTGAGCACGAAGCGCAAAAACATGACCCAAAGCAGTGGGGCCACATCCGCGAAACACTCTCTGGACCACGTTATTGCTAAATCACTAACGAGAATTCCTTCATCTCCAAACTACAAGGGCTGCGGTCCACAAATATTGAAAGCCGTGCTACACTCCGATGGATAGCTAGTTGAAGCATCGCTCCAGCTTACGTACCAAGATTAGGTTAAAGATAGCAGGCGTATGGCCACTAGTTTTCAGCACTTCATTGGAATATGCAACCTCAGTAAAATATTTGCCTCTACAATCCTGCAGAATTGTAGACAATATGGCATTAGCGACACCTGACGGGGCAGGGAGACACATGAGAGAACATCTCGATCTGGTATGCTCCATGATATCGTGCAGTTTGACAGAAATCCAAGAACCAATGACTCACGCAAAAAACGATTAGCGGACGACCGGTCGGCTTAAAACTAAACACGAATTTATTGTCCACCTACATACTTCTAACATCAAAAACGCTATCATGTTTGTGTACTAACGCCTAAGGTCTTCTTAGTAAGTTGGCAGAACTCAGAGAACGTCAGACGGTACAACCGCAGGAGCTCATTATGGTTACGGAGACCTGGTTGAGCCATGAGATAGCATATTCTGAAGTCAATTTACATGGTATGTCACTGCTTCGGAATGACAAAGCTGGAAGAGGTGGTGGCGTAATTCTGTATTACAAGGCTAACTTCCGATGTGAAGTTATTGACCACCCAGAGATTCGTGCCCCAGATTCACTTTGGTGCCGGCTATGGTTGCGGAACAAAGACACATGTCTTATAGCTGTGATTTACCGTCCACCAAACTCTACGTGTGAAATGCACTCCAAACTAAACCACGTTCTTCAGGTTGCTTTGAGCAAGACATACAGTCACATTCTCATCGCAGGCGACTTTAATGTGCACGATCTGAAAATAGCGGCGACCGATAGCATGCAGTTCAAAGCCTGTTTGCAAGAGGTAACTTCCAGCTGCCCTCTCTACAACTACGTGACCTCTCCCACCAGTTTTCGAACTGCTAACAAACCGTCGATACTTGAGCTTGTGCTCACCAAGGAAGAATTCATGGTAGACAGAATAATTACAAGCACACCACTGGATCGAAGTGACCATGTGACTACTGTTTAACTAGGTGTGTTATCCGGAATATTCTGGGGAAGAGGATGATAACGTATATACGGTCACGCACTACAACGTGTTATCCGCGTTTGTTAAGGAGATACCTTGGACCTTCATAACGGAAAGCCCCCCAGAAATCGCCTGGGAGACTTTCACAAGGACATTCACCACACTGGTAACGCACGCGTCTGAGCAGAAATTCTTCCATCGTCAAAGAAGAAGGAAGTCATTTCTGAAGAGCAGAACACGCAAATGCATGCCCTTGAGGGAGTAAACATGGAGAACTCACAAGGACTTCCCGAATTCCGAAACCTGGACTGCCTATATGACACAGCTTGACTTCTGTGTGAGTTTGGTCCACGAGGACAAGGTGACGCATCAGCCGAAGTTAATGAAGAGCTACTGCATGAACCGCAACCTCTTATGCAGGCATGTTAATGGCCTTCGTAAGGTGCAACGCGGAATTCCAGCACTGATCACGATTGGCGGGTGCACGCGATCAGCAACCGAAGCAGCCGACCGCTTACGGTCCCATTACTCAAATGTTCTAGAGAGTACCGGGCCCAACGGTCATCCATGTTTCTATTGTCCCACCATCAGCCTTATCCAATAGTACTTTCACTGCAGAAAGTGTGTCAAATAAATTGTTGTCTGCGTATCCACAGCTCTCCTGGTGTGGATACCATTCCACCGAAGCAGCAGCCAGTGATCTGGCGGAACCCCTGGCTATATTCTATCAGCGCTGTATGGAGTAGAACCATATTCCAACAATATGGAAGCGGGGGGTCTTCACTCCTATTCATGAGGTAGTCGCACTGATTCAAATAATTACCGTCCCATAACGCTACTCCCTGTGCTTTCCAAGGTTATGGAGTCTATCATCGCTGATGCACTCGCGCAGTATCTGGAAAGTCACAAAATGATAGTATCAGAGCAACATGGCTTCCGAAAAAAGCGCTCATGCACTACGAACTGTTAATTGCATGCAATAGTTGGACTGATGCAGTTAATTGTGGAGCAGGAGTTGATGTCATTTACTTGGATTTCTCAAAAGCATTTGATCGCTTAGACCACCGAATTCTCTTCCATAAACTTTAGCTCTATGACGTTGGTAACCCACTAGCGCGTTGGATAGGCAATTTCCTGTACGAACGTCGGTTGGAAGTGTAAGTACGAGAATACCTGTACTACGCGATTGAGGTGGAGTGCGGCGTACCAGAAGGCTCGGGGCTCAGGTCCCGTCTATTCTTGATTTTCATAAACGATCTAACGAGAAAATTACTTCGATTTCCTATTATCCGCGGATGATACCAAGTTATGTCGAGTGATCAAAGAACCGAACGACCACGAAAAACTCCAGCGTGACCTGAACACGATTTCAACCTGGTCAATTCTGAATACCCTACCGTTCAATGTGGAAAAATGTCACGCTGTTCAATTGCACCATAGGCATGACCATGTGTATAGGCTTGGGTCACATATATTACAAACAACTTCCCAAGAACGCGACGTTGGTGTGCTCATTCAAAGTGACCTTAACTGTTCAAAGCAGTCAGAGGCAGCTACGAAGAGAGCCAATAAGCACGTCGGCTCGCTGTGGAGAGCATTCGGAAGATACGACCCATCCACCATACCCATGATGCACAATTCTCACATGCGCCCGCACGTTGACTACGCCATCCAAGCTTCGCAACCTTGGTGGAAGCGCGATTTAGAAGTACTAGAGAAACCACAAAGCAGGGATACAAAGAACGTCAATGGCTTACGAAATCTGTCCTACCATCAAAGGCGGCTGGCTTGCCGAACAACATCCTCGTGGTGCCAGCTGGGTGGTTCGGGATTATCCCGTTCCAGCGAACGGTTCGGCTGCAGTGTTCCCGGACGTGGTGGACTTTTCGCCTGGCAAGCGTTCTCCCAATAAAAAGCCACATATGTCCGTTTAACAACACCGTGACCTGGCGGATGTGACTCGCCACTAAATAAAGTCACTGCCCCTTGCCTCTCTCTGAGTGGCATTGTAATTCAAGGGTGTGTTGGACCCCTGGTCCTATGCGGTCCTGAAGGCGTGTGAACCGCTTGTTTGGTCACCGGCTCCCAACGGGTTGCGATACCCTCATATCGCCCTGCTGCCTTGTAGGTTAGATCCTGGATCATAGGCTCGGGGTGGAGCCTCCTAAGAAAACCTCTACTTCGGCCAGGGCAACCGGGGAGCATCGTCCGCTGACGAACCTTGGATGGATCATCCCCTTCCCTCCCCCAATAAAAAACAAGAAAAACAAAACTACGAATGAAAAAATGGACAAAAAAGTTGTTCATTTAATCTAACCCTGTTTTCCTACTCAGCCATGGTTCCGATGGCAAAATATACACACAGATGGTGATATATATATATATATATATATATCTATCTTCGGTTGAAGTCACTATGAGTTTTCAGTGGCCGCTTTCGAAGGCTGCGCGGCGATCTCATATCAGTCTACCAAATATTGAGTGACCCTAATCACGTATGCCGTCACCTGCTGAAACTGGGTCATAATACAAATCTCTAAACCTCTAAAATGGAGTGTACAGTTTAGCCGCCTGGAATGCCGGCGGAGTTCATTTTCTCTTCGGGTTTGCCAACCGTGGAATTCTCTCCCAATATTTAAATGTTTCCTACCCTAGGAAATTTGCAAAAAACGATTGGATCTTGCGCTTGACTCCCATCATCTCGTTGCCTAAACTGTGCAACTTTAGAATATATTAATTATCCATCCAAACCGGATTAACATGTTACATAAACCAAAGGATGCGGGATAGAAGTGAGTGTTCTCGTTTTAACTTCTTACTTTTCTCATAGAGTACAACAACTATAACTGTCCGCATTTTGTCTCGTGGTTCGCATTCAATTCCCACTTACACTACTATTTTTCAGCAGTGTATCTGCTAAATAAACGCTCAAACAGACAACTCACCTCCCGTTTGGTAATTGTAGTTTTACCTCCACGATCTTGTGGGACTTGTCAAGCGACTGCTTTCTTACCCGACATCAATCAGTGTTCATTGAGCCTTAGTGGCATGAAAAGCAGCCCAGCGCTTCACTAAATGTATGGGTGCCCAACTAGCCGGTAGGCTGGTTAGGGAATTCCATGCGAAATGCATATCTGATTTCACCTCCTTTGTTAGTCTGTAATAGTAACTTGTAGTATCGTGGCGACACGAGTCGATTAAACAGGATTTCTCGTGTTTCGACACTTTGAGCATAGCTAGTAAGATGAATGGAACCTGCAAAAGTGGAATTGCCGACCATCTTCAACATGGTGCCCGGTCGCTCTTGACTCATTCTACGCAACTCAAAATGCGTTGCACAGAATTGAACTTAGCTTTCTGGTTCGTTGTCACTGGGCGATTTTATGGTAGAAAACTAGTAATTACCGAAAATAGCGGGGATAGCTGTTTGGTGGACAGGTTAGGTAACGTTGCAGTGCGTACTGTTAATGAAAAAGCCAGTGTTGCTTGTTAAAACACACTTTTATAGTCATACACATAGTTCACTGAAATATAAGAGAAAACAAGAGGGACGTCACACATACAGCGGACTCATTTATGTGTATTAAAAAATGCCTGAAGATTCAAGTATAGTTTCCGTGTGTGTTGGAGATCTGTTGGATTCAACCGTGGTTGGTCGTTGCCCACAGCGAAAGGGTTTAAAATCGGTGATCCATTCGAAGACATGAGAACATCCTGTGTATAATGGTGCAGAAACGTATGAAGAGAGGACTGAGCGGAAACCGGCACTTGTGTGGACAAATACAAACGGAAATGGCAAAAATCGACGTAGACAGTAAGGTGAAAATTGTCCATAATTTGGTGAAACTCTAAAAAAATGAATTTGATCGAAAACAGGACCCCAAGTTGGGTTCGGCAGTGCCGGCCGTATATCTGGAATGAAACACGATTTCTATTGGGACCTAGGTTTGAATCAAAGCAGACCGCAGTCATTCCGATCTCAATGTTCTAGTGATCAAGAGATTACCTGTCGACCATGGAGTCCCGGGTTCTGCTCCAAGTTCTGGCTATTTCTGCCATATGAGGATGAAATCGGTCGTCCGGATGGCGTGTTGTGAGCGAGCACCACAGAGCTTCATTTTCATATTAACTGAGAGTTCATTGCAGTAACTTCTAAGTCCTTCACATACAAGGAAATGGACTAAACGACCGTTTCGTTTTATCGGGACCTGTCAGCGAGGCGCATCCAACAGGATTCGAACACATGAACACTAGCTGCTTGCGTGGCTGGACATCGTCAGGTTATGCGACTGTGCCATGGGGGACAGCGGTAGACCACCATGATTAACAAGTTAACTGCAATATGGCGCGACTCACCCCCCACTGTCATACAATTTACGAACTTTGTAGTGAACAGGGTTAACCTAGACAGATACCAGTTCCACTGACAGCAGTTCTGTTATCAACTTGCAAACTAACCTCGTGTGGACAATATAGACGCCTGGTCTGCCTACGTTTGCCTGATTGACCGAGATCCCAGACCATAGATCCCAACACCAGTACTAGAGATCTGCTCTGGTTAGCCACATGATGATATCGGTTGTCCAAAAAGTTGTCATTGGTTAAGGGACCGTGACTTGGAAGTACTGTTGCTTGGGAGACTGATTACCAGCTTGTCAATCGAAGGTTCGATCATCGGTACCTTCACAGCCTCGCTCATGTCTCGTGGGAGCACTGCGTGAGCAATGAGCGTGTTCGGCGCCGCGTATTTGGTGCATGAAGAGTGAGAGAACTGCTCAGCACCGTTAGATCACGCATCAGGCTCCGATAGCTAGGCCACATATTGCGCATGCCAGCCCACCGACTCCCGCGCCGTGCGTTGTTTGCGCGCGGGGTTGTGGATGGAAAAATGAGAGGAGGCCAAGTGATGACTTGGTCAAGAGGAATGAAGTCCCTCACTTCGATGTTGGCGTCGGTTGGTGTTTTCCGAATGCCTGACTGGATACACATAGCGAAGAGTCGACCTCCATGGCGTGTGTGTTGTGAGTCTCTTTGTCCCTCCTCTTCCAACAACGATCATGAAGGTGAGATTTAGCATTGTTACTTTTATGGCTTTTAGGTCTACATTGTTCAAATATCTTACCTTCTTTTATATTGCGGCGCATTAGCTGAGGTGTGTTTCTCACCCTTGATTAAGGTATATGGATGATGATGCCAATGGAATAATATGCCAACTGCAGAGGGCGAATGCTCAATCTCATCAAACAAGGTCTGTCTGGCGCGGAGGAACTATCACCATCAAGATCGGACGTCCATGACAAACGGAATCGACGCATGGCAGAGCAAGAGAAATTTAGAATTAAACTCAAATAACAGCGAGAAGGGAGCCGTGAAAAACACTTACATCCGGTTTCAGTGGACGCATTTTCTGGCGAGCTACAGCCGCCTTCCTTGTCCTCGTGACTCTTGTAGTCGAAGGGATGGCAAATGTGGTGATCTCCTGATGAGCTGGAGTGGAGGAGATCAAGACGGCTTTCTTTGAAGTCCTTTTGGCCTGAGAGATATGTAAAATAGGAGATAGTGAGAAACGCACCCACTTCATCATGGGAACAGAAATGACAAGCCTACGAAAGCGCATGGCGGTAAAAGACGCAGCGCGGCGTGTGCACAGAGCTAACCGTAGTTCTGACAACGAACAACTGGTACAGCGTAATCATTGCACCACATTGTATACTGTATTGTGGGAGCGATTAAAGATTTGAATACGTACAACTTAAAAAACGCAAATTGTCAATATTATGATCGTTTTTCACATTCTCACATGACAGCGTTTAGAAATCGTTTAACTTACGGTAGATGGCGATTCAAAAAAACCGATGCCAGTGGGTAATCATTCATAGAACCCAACATTTGGGAAATGACCCTTCAACAATCGTCTGAACTTCTGCAATGAGTTTGCTTCTACTATATGTTCACGCAAACTGTTCCAGACATTTACCACTCGTCGATCAAAGAAAAGTGATGGGAACTCACTTCTGATCTGGAACTACAAGCTTGTACCGGTGCCCGCGTGTGCAGCAATGCGTCCGCAAGTGGAACAGTGGCATCAGCATTGGGGAAGTCGCCTAGATGAAGAATGCGGTGGGTCATGATGTGGTCGACGCGTCACCGATGACAGGACAGGGTGTATAGTCCCAGTCCCTCGCACCTGTCCTCCTACGGTAAGCCCCGCAAACTGGGGATGAGCTTGGTAGTGTCGTGGTAGCGCCGTTCAACCTCCTGTGCATCGCCTTGAGTGGTCGGGCAATAGACGAACGACCCGTACTTTAACATTGGGCTGATGATGGAAAAGAGAAGAGTGATAACCTCCTCAGACCAAATGCAGAAGTTGCGTTTGAGCGTCCAGAGCATGCGCAGTCCGTTGCAACGTAGCCTGTTCGTGTTGTCCATGGACTTCAGACAGCAACATGAGAGTACTCCTAAGTCTTTCATGGAAGGCATAGGATGTAGTAGTCGGCCGTCACCGTCCATCTCCCGGCCAAAAAGGTGTTATCTGATATCATCATTGCGCACTCGATGTTTCCACTATACACAGGCGGTGCACCGCAAACAGCCAAAGACCGAAAGTCTATGCATGTCATCTACACGGAGTAGCCAGGTTTAGTATCCACACAACAGTACTGTGAGAACACTGCAAAGCACATACCATACCTAGACGCTTCAACCACTAGTCTGTCAAGGATCATTTGCGTAGCAAGCGAGTCGTCCCCGAGCAAGGTGATATCATCAGCGTAATTCAAGTCGGTCGCGCGATCACCCTGTAAGTGCTCGATGCCAAAACGGGCAAACGGAGGACATGGCCTAGTCAACGTAATGCGTTGAGAGCTTAAACGAACACTGGGATGGCGCACCAGGAGGCTTCTTGCCAAAAACCAACTGGTGGATCCCAACATTGTTCACCCGATGTTCCCACCTGATGTGAGCAATACACCGCAAGCACCGGTGGTCAAACACGGTAAAGCGTTTGATGCTCTCGCTGAGAAGCAGCCAGACCTCTGATACATACAGTAACACCGGTCTTATCACAGCGTTAAACACCCAAGCTTTCATTGGCAAGCTTATACTCCATCGTCTACAGGGATGTTTGAGTCTCTGATAAGGAAAACGGACTTACTGAGACGCGAAGCAACCTCCTCAGTTATGCGAACACCAGAGGTGACACAGCTACCAAGGTAAGCGAACCGATCTACCACTTCCAGTGGCTGGTTGCCGACACTTAAAATCGGTGGTGTATGGATCCTGTCCTGCGACAACACCTTGTACTTTAAAGGTGCAAAGTACATGCCGAAATGTGCAGCACTGCGTACTAGTCTATCAAGTAGTGCTTGTACAGCCACTGCGTCAGACCCAAGGAGAGCTATGTCGTCCACACACAAAAGGTTTGTCAGTCGGTCAACTGCCGGAAGTTAAACTCCGGTAGTGTGCAATAATCGAGTTGTTCATGATCATTTCGTGGAAATGTTGAAGAGAAAAGCAGATCGAGATCAACCCAGATAAACTTCACTTGCCGTAGAGTGTGGGGAACGCAGGAGACAGTCTCCTAGAAAACCTCATCCAGTGTCGGGAGTAACGGTAGAGAGAATAAGGAATGTCAAGAAGTTATATTGGTACTTCCTTCACGGATAGTCAATGCTATAAGCTAGCACGATCAGTAAGGCTGAAGACGCCTTTCAAGTCGAAACTACCATAGTTGGTCGTCTGTAGATATTTCTCTGCTCAAACAATTGTCCGACTAAATGTGTGGTCAATGCAACCACGACCAGAGGGAAGGAAAGCCAAGATTTAAATGATTCAGTTGGTACTCGTAACCAGTAAGCCGACGAAGAATAAAACCTGTGAAAATTATAGAGGCAATGGAAAGAAGGCCTAGATGATGTTCTCACAAAGTCCGTCTACCATTTATAAAGATGGGTAGTACAGTTGGTAGTCGCCAGTTTGAAGAAGGCACCCAAATCGTGTTGCATTGAGCGGCAAGTCTAGACAACAAAGTTACCTGCATCTTTCAGCAGAGACAAGGGAAAGTCGTCGAATCCAGGAGCCTTGTTTCCTTTAAACACGGCAGGCACATGCCGTCTGCGTGGGCTAAGGTGTTCCAGCAAACGGCAGTGCCGCAGCAGGCTTGCTGAACTGCTCTTCAAAATGTTCCACCCAACGAGCCAGACTACGATGCAAAAAATGGATCAACAGTCAATCTGTCTCAGCTGTTGTCTCACTAAATGAAGTCTTTCTCCGAAGCGTGTACTGGATGAACTGGGACAGCTTTTGGCTGTTTGCAGTAGTACTTGCATTCTCCAACACACAGGCCCTTGCCACCCACGAACGTTCCCGTTCAATTCAAAAACCCATTGTCAGTCGTCGTTTCAAAGTTTTACGGCCACGCTGAGAATCAGTTCCGTGCTTCGATGAAACTGATCAATGACAATGGCTAGCTAGCCGAACAACTTCCTCGTGGCGCCAGCTGGGTGT